TACTTTAGTGCAGATATAAAGGAGTTTTGGCAAGAAGAAATATCTGGACTCATCTTTTATATAGTTATTGCTTATACACATGCTGAAATCACTTATTTCTATAACACACACACACACACACACACACACACATATATATATTGTGTGAGATTTCTGAAATATTGACTAAATAAATATATTGTCTTCTATATATATCACTCTGTTTTAATTGGTTTGTTAATTTCGAGAACACTGGGCGTGAAGTCACTCACGTAGAACATCATCTCCCTTTCCCCGGACTGTCGACAAGTAATTTGGACGGATTATTTGTTGTTGTCGACAGTCCGGGTATAAACCTTTGGGAACACAATTCTGTGTTGGTTGTGGTGCGTTCAGTTTAGTTGGATTTTTCGAGTGTTTTTGCTCGGTTGTAGTGAGCGCATTTGATGAAAATGATTATGATTTGGAAATCTTTAGTGCGCTTTCGACAAATTGCATATTTCGCACACATTTAGTGGTTGATCGAAAGAAGGGGTGAATGAGGGTGGGTTGTATTTTACTGAAGAATATATGAAAGGGGCGTTAGGGTTGCATGATTAATTTGTGTATAAATTTTGAATTTTGAAATTTGTCAGACGCGGTAGCTGTAGGGGGAACTGAACAGGGAGGCTATTTGCCCGTTTGTTTGTTTTTATATATTATGCGGGTGCGAGTTTAGTTGTGTCCTATCTGTACCTTAGTTAATGTCTGTCTGTGTTTTATTACTTGTGGTAGGTTATTAGTTTCTGAGTGGTGTTTGGAGGGGTTGAGGTATAGATGCCGATACGTGTGTGTTTTGATCCCGAGGAGCCGTCTGTGTTTGTGTGACATCAATTCGGGCAGGGATCTGAATGTGCGCTAGTGTAATGTCTTTTGTTTGTTTTTGTGGAAAGTGTCTATATTTTTTATTTTTCAGTCTGGGGGTGAAGATTTTTGACACTTTCATGTTTTGTCTAATTAGAGTGTGCATAGTCTTGTATGGTTACACAATGCCATTTAGAAAGTGGGGTACACAAAGTCCGCAGTCCTGACTACCAGTTGTCCAACTTCCATTTTTTGGACGTCGCGCTGGCTGAGCGGGTTAGGCTGTTGACTTTGTGTGCTTGGGATTTGGTGCCTGACTCTGAGGGTGTGGGTTCGAATCCCGGATGGGACTCAACCCCCAAAAGTTACTAGAATTTGTACTTTACTAAGAAAGTGTAATCCCAAATATAAATGGTGGTGTTTCTATTCTAACGCCTGAAGTTTTATGTTACATTTAACCGTTAGTTGTATTAGGGAACTTGATTAGACTGATGCCCAGAAGTTTCTTGTTGTAGAAACAAAGGGGCTATTGGTCTGATGCACACTAATCAGATATGAGGAGCTTTATTGGTACTCTCTCTCTCTCTCTCTCTCTCTCTCTCTCTCTCTCTCTCTCTCTCTCTCTCTCTCTCTCTCTCTCTCTCTCTCTCTCTCTCTCTCTCTCTCTCTCTCTCTCTCTCTCTCTCTCTCTCTCTCTCTCTCTCTCTCTCTCTCTCTCTCTCTCTCTCTCTCTCTCTCTCTCTCTCTCTCTCTCTCTCTCTCTCTCTCTTTATTTTTATGCAAGGCAAGTATCAATGGCAACTCCAAGCTGTTTCTAACAAGTTGATGTTTGTTTTATTCCAGGTATCTTTGCATATTTGAACTAATGGTCTGTATATATATAAGATGTGGGTAATTTATCTGAAATGGCTCAGAGTGAGTGAGTGAGTGAGTTTAGTCTTACGCCGCACTCAGCAATATTTCAGCTATATGGCGGCGGTCTGTAAAAAAATCGATTCTGGACCAGACAATCCAGTGATCAACAGCATGAGCACCAATCTGCGCAATTGGGAACCGATAACATGTGTCAACCAAGTCAACGAGCCTGACCACCCGATCCCATTAGTCGCCTCTTACGACAAGCATATAGTCGCCTTTTGTTGGGTTGCTGAAGATCTATTCTACCCCGGATCTTCACGGGTCGAAATGCCTCAAACATACTGTTGACTGTTAGGAACAAATTATAAATACAGTCTGAAAACACAAGTCTGTGGGTTCATGGATGATCCCACATATTAGCAAATATGCAGTATTCTAAATTTGGAATGAAGGTCAGGTGTTGTCATATCTTTTATTTCTTTGCATCATGTAAAGCTTGATTCAACCATATTCCTTGGACCATTTTTCTTTTTGCTATACCTGAAGTGAACAAAGTTTTCAATACTTGGAGTATGAAATATTTCAAGTTTACATTGTTTTACCAAGTTGGTCGTTAGCTACCAAAATATCTGTACACACGTGTTTCAAGAAAGTAACAAATGTCTGTTACATGCATCAGTCATGCTATGTTGTCCTTCTACACTGACAAGATACGTCTGAAGGGGTACTCCGAGCAGTGTAAAACCCTGTGACAATCACTCGCTCAGGCAGTCCTTGACTGACTGTCTGAGTTTGGTTTTACGCCGCTTTTAGCAATATTCGAGCAACACCACGGCAGGGGACACCAGAAATGGGCTTCACACATTGTGCCCATGTGGGGATTCGAACCCGGGTCTTCGGCGTGACGAGCCAACGTTTTAACCATTAGGCTACCCCACCGCCCCGGCAGTCTTTGAAGTGGCGATATGGTCATGGTATCTATAGAAACCAAGAAATTGTAACAGTGTTTGATAATCCTCAATTTATCTAATGAAGTTAGTGTCAGTGTGGATGAAATAATCTGTGACTTGAATGTCTCTCACTGTTCTTCAATGTTTCTGACAATGTTGAACAACGTGCACTTTATTTGATTTTTAGAGTGTCACCATGTTACTGTATACTGCAGTATCGTTTTCTAACGATATCTATTGCAATTGTTGTTTGTGTGTTCCAAGGTATTGTTGCAAAATATTTAACAAGTCTCATTTGAGTCATTCAGCCTAAAATGTACGAAGAAATTTAGCAACAAATGATGGGTCCTTCTGAAATTGACTGCGGATATGCAAAAGTGATTTTTCTGTCATTGTTATCTTCTGTGTCTCCATGACTACAAGATGGTAGCAAATGATCATACTGACTTTGACATTGTAATCATTTCATAATTAGTTGGGGCAGTGGGGTAGCCTAGTGGTTGAAGCATTCGTTCGTCATGCCGAAGACCCAGGTTCGATTCCCCACATGGGTACAATGTGTGAAGCCTATTTCTGGTTTTCCCTGCTGTGATATTACTGAAAGCAGCATAAAACCAAACTCACTCACTCATGATTAGTATGTACAAAATAGGATCTGCATGTGCAGTCACTGTCAACCTCTGTCCACCACCTCGCTCCTAATACATCACAACACAGTAATGCAATATATTACAATATGGTTTTCAAATACACAACACTACCAATCAGGTTAATATGTAAAATTACCAGACCTGGTGACAAAAGCAAGTTTTGCTTATATGACAATGAAATGTCAATTCTTGCGGGCCAGTGTATAATGTTTATATCGATTATCGAGGCAAAGCTCGTGAGGATTGTACAGGAAGGCAAGCGTTTCAGTGGTATTCAATATATATTGTTTACTGATAAACCCCTGCTTAGTAAAAGAGATAGTGATTTGCCTGGAAGAGGAAGAGGAATATTTGATTTGATTTACACATTAAAAAGGATTGAGGATTTATTAAGTTGGATTTTTATTTTTGAATATTTTGGGAGTATATTTATTCGTTATTCCGGGATCAAAATATGAATATGAATGTTCAGCTTTCATAGAAATGGGCCTTCAATGGTCTGGTGAGCACATATCCTGAAATTGAGGGTTATGTGATGTTTTTCAAGGTCAAACAATGAAAAGCAACATATATTTGTAGCAAAGTGTTACATTGATGTGTCTTGGTTCTTTTTATTGGCAGCTAGGGATGGGTTACTATTGGGTGAATGAGTGAGTGAGCGAGTTTAGTTGTACACCGCTTGTAGCAATATTCCAACAATATCATGGCGGGGGACATAAGAAATGGGCTGCTACCATTGGAGGTTTATAGTGTATCACACAATTTTATGACACACAAGGCTGCAATGTGATATATTTATTGTATATATATATTTTGACTGCACATGGAACCATATCACTTATATTAAGAAAAGATAAGTAATCAATCACAGAATATACTGAGAACATAAATGATGTGATAATGAGCAAGAACGAACCTCAATTTACCCATCTATCGGTAATACTGCCCACACTCACTCATTGGCAAACAGGTAGACTAACAACCAGTCACTGAAATGAACATAAATTACAATAAAAATGTTCACAGTAAAAAAAAAAATATATAATGTAAAGGAGCCCTGAGACTTTCTTCATTTCCTGCAGCTGTGGAAGTCTAGACTTGCGTGGGCTTTCTTGGATATATTTGTTTCAGGATCTGTATGACAGACTAGCAAAACAGGGAGCAGTTCTACAAAGATATCTTAAGAGTTAAGTGCTCCACACCTTGTGAAATGTTTACATATCTCTTATGTATTTGGGGTTATCAGTGATGCCAAGATTTATCAACCTGATAAGATTTCATTAAACCCGGGTCATGTGGGTTGATTGTCAGCAAACCTTGATTTTCGTAAGCAGTAAATCTCGTCTGGATTGTTGTAATTCTAACCTGGATCTTCATAAGTGTCATGATGTCATAAAGAAAACAATATGGGCAGTAACTTGTGTACCTTATCAGAAAGGGAATAGCCTCTGACTTGGATTAGTTCCTTAATTGACTGTTGTTTAAGTCCATTATAAATGCTCATGGTACGTGTTTGGCATCTGGTACTACCCTGTCGGTAAAGATATATACAGCATTCGAAAAGTAAAACATAATTGCTTTATTCTAACCAACATGACTTCTGTCTTATATTTATATTGAATAGAAAAAATGCAAAGGCTATAAAAACAGAAGGGCCTTCGGAAATTGTATTTTCTATATTTGGAAAAACCCTCATGCACAACGAGACACAGAGAGCAAATAGGATTATATTACAATTTATTCACATTGCAAGAGACTATGTACACAGTAACCCGAATCGTGTTTCAGATATGTCTCAGGTGTTTCACGTCAACATACTTGTCCAGTCTGTCTCCTCGTTTGATTTCATGAAACAACGATTTCGGCATTGTCATTTTCTGCATATTGTCTTGAAACAGTTTTATCAAAATAATATTAAGGCTGGACTGGTCAAACCTGTGACACTTATTATACTCCCTTACCTTAACATTACACTTTAACATTTTGTGCGATCCGTCGGGGCACATACAGTCCGGCGCAAAAGCACATGACACCCACGGTGCGATGATGGCTTCTCTCACAAAACGGTCGTTTGCTAATCCAATAAAGTTAGCCTCAAATTCCCAATACGGCGAGAAATGACAAGAGCGCTCTCCATAATATTCCATCATCTTTGGAGAGAAGTGTTGGCCGAGAGCGCGGATTATTTTTGACACCATTACACCACTGGCTTTAATCTGTTTCAGCAACGGCAGCATGTTTATGTTGGTGAAGCGGGTGGAGGCATCCGCCCACAGGAGGATGTCAGATACGGGTAGGTTTGCCGAGATGATGATAGGCTTCCATGTGTAACACTTAAGGCGCTGAAGACGCTTTGGAAACGACTCAAAAGGAAAATCCCTGACTTCACATTGACAAAGATTTTCCATATTAACCCGCTGCTCGGAGGTCATTCCAAGGTCGTACATGACAAAATGGAAATCGATGTTAGCCATTGCGGGAAACATGACCTCCTGGACATTCTTCAAGAACACAAGAGATTCCATGAAATGGTTATCTGATGTTGCGCTGACCAGTACTACTTTGTGGTGGCGAGTCCGCTTTCTCATATTGCCTATGGCGTCAAGGTACGCCTCTGGTACACGGTACTGGGAATCGATGAACTCCCTCAGATTGGTATGGTTCACACTCTTGACCTGTCCAGTACAATTTGTATCAATGCATGGGTATTCAGGGTTCAGACCGTCTCGACAGCTGCTGGCTCGAGTGACCTTGACCTCGGGGATATCCGTCTGTCGTTCCTTGGTTAATCTTTTCGTGAACATTGTCTCCAAACTGTCCCCCTCGTTGGTTGTGTCATCAACAATGTCTGTATTATCCTTAATGAATTTAAGAGCGGACTTGCGGTCACTTCCTCGTAAGTCGATCAACACGTTGCTGCTTATTGCGCTTCGAAACCTGCTGCACGACAACAGATGAAGCACCTGCCATATTATCATACAAACAGCGAACACAAGGAGGTAGTTGGTTTTGATCTTGACTGTACCCTTAAACAGTTTCATTGTGTGGTACAGGCCTAGCTCAGTCCTCAACAAAGTATTCCTCCTTCCGTGCAGGAAATATTCGCTCTTTTAGCCAGCTTACTGAGATATGGGTTAAACAACTCGTATTAACAATTGAAGCGTGGTTGAATGAAGGTCACGTGATCAGATTATATTGTCCCGAGAAGGCGACGCCCTGTCCGAAATCTTGCTTACAACCTGTCTGACAGCTTTATTTGAGGCACAACAGAACATGTCAACTATGAGTTGTCTGCAATATTGAAAGTTGAATTCATACAATTAAAATGTATTGGTTAACAATGGAAATACGTTTTATGCGAACTGACAGTGGGATTAGTTTTACGGACCGTTGTCTGACCCGAAGTTGTTTATCTAACGACTTAATGGAAGTAATGAGATATTAACTTCAGGATCAGTGTCAAAATAGAGGTAATTTGCCCCCGTCTAATTAGATCAGACGTCTCTGTGATCGGTTGTGCTAATATGTTGATACTACACATAGAAACTGGTACTTCTAACCAGCCACCAACCCAACTCCTCATATTTTTTTACCTTTTTAATTCGACCTCCCGTTCAATTTTCCCTTAACAATCAGTTTTGGTTTTTTGGGTAGTACACCACCACTCCTTCAAAAGTTATATTTTTTGTTCCCCCTCATTTCTTAATAAGTGTACTACCCCCTCGCCGAAATAGCTTAGTTGTGCGACGTTAAATAAAGGAAATAACAATAACAACACTCCTAGACAGGATATTTATGTCCAGAATACTTTAAAGAATTTGATACCGGTATGTGAAGAAAAAACACGTCTTTAATATCAAATCCGTTTTATGAAGTTTGAGAATACCATTTATGCAGATATATGAAACGCACGTTTTAAATAACTGATGCTATTGAATCCTACCTTCTGACTGCTTTTAACAACATCTATAAAGTTATTCCCTTTTGAAGTAGCCTACATGTAAATAAAACTACAGGGGTCCGCCAAGCGATTTACTATAGGATTGAAAGAGGGGTGTGTGATCATAACGTGAGACGTGGAGGGTGAGATAAGAGCAGCGTGGTAGAATTTAGCGAGCGTGGTATGTTAATCGTTTGATTCTACTGAATTGTTTGTAAAAATTGAAACATACAACCGTATGGATAACAACATCTTGTTTATTGCATAAAGCAACGTTTCGATGTAGAATGTATCTCCTATTTCAACACGGCTCCCTTGGGAGCTGCATAAATCGCCTTACACGCATGCTGCGTGTCGTTGGATAGCTGGATCCGGGCGCTACACGGAGAATGTTTCCGTTTGTTTTCATGCAAATTTATAGCCGAGCAATTAAAGTTTCTGTGATTTTAAGCTGTGTGTTTTTCTTCCACGTAGGTCCCTGTGGAAGGAATTTGTTCCACCCAGCCTCCGGTGGAAGTCGCCTACGCCATTGCATTTTGGAAGCCTTCTACTTTGTCGTATCTATGCATGTTATACATTGTTGGAAACCTGAGGAAACGCTCTCTCCTAATATGCAAACGTGAATATTATGCTGCCCATGGTAACCAGTCCAGATTGAAACTCCGACGTGATGTTTTGTGTAATTTTACTGAAGTTCAATTCTTCTGTGATATAGCAATTGTTTCGCCAACATCATGCAGTCATGATATAACGGCTACTACTCTTACAATCACCTCAGAAAATACATTTCTATTGTGCGTTTGAAAGCCATTTAAGGCGTGTTTTAGACAACGTATAATACGCACATGTTACACATTCAGTGGTTGAGCTATATAAGTATTATCTCTCTCATCCTTCTCTGCTGTGGCGATATCCATCCGAATCCTGGGCCGAAATATTTCAGAGACCTTAAAATAATACATTTGAACGTACGCAGTTTGAAAGACAAAACTGATTTACTTGACGCAGAATTTCGATCTTATGACGTTATATGTCTTACTGAAACCTGATTGCATGCAGACATTCGTATTGTTGATATAGCAATACCTGGATATCACCTACCATTCAGGAAAGATAGGCAAACGCGTGGTGGCGGTGTCGCGATCTGTCAAAAGCAACTTACACGCCAAGCATATGGACAACCTTGACACCCCCGGGCTTGAGGCGGTGTGGATACAGATAAAGTGCATGTAAACACCGTTGTTACCTAATCCGTCTATCGAGCAGATAAGAGCGCGGGGTACTGGGATCTGATTGAGGAATCTGTCGGTAACGCCGTCGACCTGAACATGTATACTATCGTTGTCGGTGACTTTAATAAAGACGTCCTTCGGGAAAATCGAACTAAAATAGATAACCTTCAATTGATGTATGACCTTAAACAGATTATATCCGAACCAACTAGAATTACACCACATTCAAGTACCCTGATAGATCTGATTTTTGTTTCGAATATTAAAGCTGTAAATGACTCGGGAGTCCTTGACCCTATCTGCAGTGACCATTGTCCGATATTTGTGAACATCAAACAACCAATTCCCCTCCTTATAAACTATAAGAGGAAAGTTTATTACTATTCGTTAGTTGATACTGTAAGCATGAACAAGAGTGTCGATGATATTGATGGTGATATTTTATTTTCTTCCAATAATATAGATAAGATTGCAACCGATTTAACATCCACAATAATGAAAATCTGCGATCAACATATACCAAATAAGACTGTCACTATTAGACCTGCAGATCCGCTCTGGATGACGAGTCAAATACGTTCTTTGATTCGGAAACTTAATCGTCTACATAAAATTGCAAAGAAATGTAACCATCCAACGAAGTAGGCTAACTTCAGATCAGCAAGAAATAAAGTTACTTCCGCTATTAGAACTGCTAAACAAATTTTCGTTTCTAAAATTGAAGACTCTGTTAATACCTCGATCGGTACGAAAACGTGGTGGCGTCTGACGAAAGGGTTCATAAAATCACGTAACAATGACAATCAATTTGGGACAATTATCTTTAACGATACAATCTATAATGACCATGAAGAAATCGCAAATGTCTTAAACAATTACTTTATCGCTCAGTCGACTATTGCTGATCCAAATCGAGATTTGCCCGATACCGAGTTTCCTTGCAGCCCAAAATTAACTAACATCACTCTAACCCGCGATGACATCAGAGATATTTTAATGTCACTGGACACATCAAAAGCGACCGGTCCGGATGGGACAGGAAATATAGTACTTAGATATACCGCAAATAGTCTAACATCCATATTTACGAAATTATTCAATTTGTCCCTTAGCCTGTCAATTTTTCCCAGTCCATGGAAAGAAGCATCGGTAATACCTATTCACAAGAAAGATAGCGTACATGAATGTTCTAACTACCGCCCTGTCGCACTCACATCTTGTTTATCGAAAGTCTTTGAGAAATGTGTATTTAAATATGTATTCAATTTCTTAAGAGATAACGACTTCATGACAAATTTACAATCAGGATTCATGCCAGGAGACTCCACAACAAATCAATTAACCTTTTTGTACAACTTTATAGCCAAAGCTCTTGACGAAGGAAAAGAGGTTAGAGCAGTCTTCTGCGACATAAGTAAAGCCTTTGATAAGGTCTGGCATAGAGGAATTATTTATAAACTGAAAACCTATGGTATCCAAGGCGAACTATTACAGTGGTTTGAAAGTTATTTAGAAAATAGAGTACAACGGGTCGCAATTAACGGCTATAAATCTGACAAGATAACTGTACTAGCTGGAGTATCTAAGGGCTCTGTCCTTGGACCACTTCTTTTTCTGATATACATCAATGATATTGTATGTGATGTTGACAGTAACATTCGTCTCTTTGCGGATAACACCTCATTATATGTTATCATAGACGATCCATCAGCTGCTGCTACCTGTCTTAACAAAGATCTAGATAGAATTTCACAATAGGCCCGTAAGTGGCAGGTTACATTTCATCCAAATAAAACCGAAACTACCCAGTTTTCACGTAAAACGAAACCGTCTCTAAAACCGAACCTATTCATGGACGGAACAATCATAAAAGAAGTCAAAAGTCATAAACATTTAGGATTAACACTCCAAAGCGATTGTATGTGGAATGATCACACTAATGATATTGTACGTAAAGTTCGCCCTATGATCAGTTGTCTGAGGAGTTTTAAATACCGATTATCACGTAAAACGTTGGATATTATGTAAAAATCCTATATCTTGCCAATATTTGACTATTGTTCGCATATTTGGGATAACTGTACTTCTGAGCAATCGCGTACATTAGAAACTTTACATCTTGATGCTCTGAGAACTATATGTGGTGCCGTTCGTGGCACAAGTCATAACAAACTTTATAATGAAACCAAATCTCAGTCCATGCAAGATAGAAGGAATTGCCAGAAGTTAACTTTTTTCTATAAGATGTACAACAACCAATTGCCAAAATATCTTTGTGACCTGATCCCAAACTCCGTCTCCGGAACTACAAACTACAGCTTGAGGAATAACTCTGAAATACAAGGAATTTACAGTCGCACTGCCTCTTATGCTAAATCCTTTTTACCTGCCACAATAAATTTATGGAATGTCCTACCAAATTCCAAAGCGTCATGTAATCTCACAGAATTTAAAAACCTAATTACAAAAACTGAAAATAAGATTTACTTTGACCTTAATTATGGCACTCGTTTTTGCCAAATCGTTCACTGCCACCTCAGGCTCGGATGTAGCGACCTAAACACCGATAAGTATAACAGACATTTAATAGACAGCCCTTGTTGTTCTTGTGGACATCAGAGTGAAAACGCCCTACACTATTTCCTCACTTGCCGTAACTATACTCGGATAAGACTTAATATGTATTTTTACACGACCGGTTATAACCTGGATACCATTCTTAAGGGAAACAAAGAACCTACTCCCTGTGTAAACCAGAAAATAGTTGAATCCGTCCACGATTATATAACCAAGACACAACGCTTTAAATTTTCTCAGGAAAATAATTAAATTTACTCAACAACCTTCTCATGATTGATTTATATTTCTACAATGGCTTGTGAGATACACACAACTGTAACTCTCTAACTTATGACTACTTAGAGAATAGTTGTATTTCATGTAATCTGTATATATTTATATATTTTAAAAATATTATATT